AAATAAAATGGCTCTGTCCGTGTTAAAATATATTTTTAAAGATTTACAAAACTAAACAGTCTACAGTATTTTTACTGTCATTGTTTTACATTTAAAATATATGTTTATCAAATAAAGTCTAATCAGGGATCTCTTTAAATACTGAAGTTTTACTCATTTTTCTGCAGCAGCAAAAAGATAAAGTGGTCATTTTCTGTTTGATTAAATCAGACGTTCACGTGGTTGTGGAGTTATTCAGGCCCGCTGTTGTTTCCTGTGCTGCTTCATTAATTGGACTTTGGACCGTTGCAGCACCTCAGTTGTTTTCTTTCACCGTTCACTCAGTTGTGGATCAGATGCTGGGTTTGGATTATTGTCTTGTTGCACTGTGACCCAGTTTGACTCAAGCTGTCAGACAGACAGAATATTTTGGTAAACAAAGGAGTTTGTGATTGAGTCAGTGACTGCTATGTGTCCAAAGGTCTGTTGCTTCAGGACAAACTCATGTTAGACCCAACATGCTGCTGTGCATGATGGGTAAGCATCTCTGCTTTGGTCTATTCTGTCCAAAGAGCTTTGGTCCCGACATGTTGTGGTTCATTCAGGTGACACTTTGTAAACTAAAGTCGTGCTACCATGATCTTTCTTCTGCAGACATTTCAAATAAGTCATACTGATACATCTTATTGTTCTCTCCTGACCTTTGACCTTTAACCTGCTAACCGTAGCCTGTAGTCTGACATGGAGCTGTGGGAGTTTCACAGTTTTCATGAGCATTGCACAGTCTGACCTTGGGTGAATTTGCTGGAATGTCCTCTCCTGTGATGAGTAGCAGCTGGTTTAAATGTTTTCAGTTTGTGAAAATTCTTTCTCACTGTAGAATTACAGACTTCAAATAGCTTGGAAACAAATGTTCAACCCTTTTCATATTGATGGACAACAACAGCTGTACAACCCCAGTTCTGATGAAGTCGGGATGATGTGTAAAATATCAATAAAAATAAGATATGATGATTTGCAAATCGTTTTCAACCTTTATTCAATTTAATACAATACAAATGCAAGATATTTAATGTTCTAATGGACATACTTTGTTTTTTTGTTTGTTTGTTTTTGCAAATATTCACTCCCACCACCCACTGGAACACAAGTTAGGAGTGATCAGGACTCTGTACCAC